CAAATGCATAGCAAGTCATTTAAAAGATCATGGCCTGAATCAAGCATACTTTAGTCTTCAAACTAACATTGCTCTCTCAGTGATACTGTTTTATAATATCTACATTCTGTTGGAACTGTGTAATATCATATGCAAGCAAAATATTGCTGAAGATCATGCACAAACTTCTAGCGCTGTACATTGATAGAGAAATGTTAAAAGTTCAAGGTGATTTAAAAGTGGCTATGGCACCAGGGATATCATTTATGATATCAGATGGATATTGACTAAAATAGAGAATTCCAGAAGAATGTCTATTTATGTTTAAGTGACTAAGCAAAAGTAGTAGACTATGTGGATCATAACAATCTATGATTGACGTTGAAGAGAACTTGAATTTCAGAACACTTGATTGTACTTATACAAAACCTTTACCTAGACCAAAAAGCTGTTTTGGGAACAGAATAAGAAACATTGCATAGTGTAAAATAAAAAAGACATGGATGGGTTAGGGCTGTATTCTTTCTCCATAACTGTTCAATCTTTGTGCTGAATAAATCACTTGAGAAGCTGCACTTTATGATGAAGAATGTGGCATCAGAATAGAGGAAGACTCCTCAACAACTTGCATTATGCCTCTGATACAACTTTTCTTGCTCAAAGTGAGAACTTGAAACAACTTGTTACAGATGATGAAAGACTACAGTATTCAATATAGATTACATTTCAATATCAAGGAAAGAAAGAACCTCACCACTGGCCAATGGGCACCATCATTACTTGGATCCACAGTCAACTACCGCCATTGGTACAAACAGTCAAAAATTCAAAAGATGTATTACAATGGGAAAATCTGCTCTCAGTGATCTCTCCATAACACATAGCATAATTCAGAACAATGATGTCTGCTTTAAAACTAAAGTGTGCCTGATTCAAGCCATGGTCTTTTTCATCACCTGTTATGTATGTGAGAGTATGACAATGAATAAGGATGACAGGAGAAATGCACTTGATCTTAGCCAAAAGGCTGAGAAGCCATAGGATGACAGAGAATTGATGCCTTTAAGTTGTGTTGGAGAATAATACTGAGTGACCCATGAACTGCCAAAAGAACAAACACTTATGTCTTAACACTGAACAAAATAGGATTAAAGGGGAATTTCTTCAACATAGTATAGAGTATATACGCAAACCTGAGAGCCAACATTGTTCTCACTGGACAGAGATTAAAGACATTCCCCTTGAGAAAAGGAACTAGGCAAGGATGCCCACTATCACCTCTCCTATTCAATATAGTATTGAAAGTTTAGCGACCGCAATAAGGCAAGAGAAAGAAATAAGAGATATTCAAATTGTCAAAGAGGAGGTAAAATTGTCTCTTTATGCATATGTCATGATAGTATACTTAGAAAACCCCAAAGACTCAGCAAGAAAACTACTAGACATAGTCGACAAATTCAGCAAAGTGGCAAGATACAAGATCAACATACAAAAATCAATTGGATTTCTTTACAGTGACAAAGAGAATATAGAACTGGAGCTGAGAAAAACAATACCTTTCACAATAGCTAATCACAAGATAAAATATTTAGGAGTAAACCTAACCAGAAGCACAAAGGACCTACTCAGAGAAAATTACAAAAACATTATTACATGAAACAAGAAAAGACCTGGAGAGGTGGAAGAATATCCCTTGATCATGGATAGGAAGACTCAATATTGTGAAAATGACAATACTACCAAAGACAATTTATATGTTCAATGCAATCCCAATACAAATACCAATTCCATTCTTCAATGAGATGGAAAAGGCAATCTCCAGTTTCATTTGCAATGGAAAGAGGCCCAGAACAAACAAAGCACTCCTTAAAAAAGAGAAACAAGGTAGGAGGCATGTAACTCCCTGATTTCAAGTGCTACTACACTGCTATGGTGGTCAAGAGACAATGTGGTACTGGTACAATAACAGACACATAGATCAATGGAATAGAATTGAGAACCCAGAAATCAGCCCATCTACCTATGGTCAACTAGGCCCACCTTATGGATATACATCTTTCATTGCTGACACCCACTGTCAGTTGAACCTGGAATGCCAGGAATTTTAGCCTTGTAGATAAAATTACAGGTAAACTGGGCTTACAGTTATTTTGTTGTTGTAATTAACTACTGGAACAATTTTTACTAAGAACAATAAATTTCTGTTGAAACATTGCATAAAAATTTTTTAAGCACTCATTTGGGTGTCCCTACCTAGAGCAGTCTACATCCCCCTCAATGTGCTATTATATCTTAATGCATATAACTACAAACCAGTTTTTTAAAGTAGAAGAAAGACAGTGTCTTGAGGAGCTTCTTGTTGTTAGGTGCTGTCGAGTTGAGTACAACTCATAGCTACCCTATGAACAAAAGATCTGAACCTTGTTCTATCCTGTGCCATCCTCATACTTCCTGACACATAGAGCCCATTACAGAAGTCACCACATCAATCTACCTGGCCAAGGGTCTTCCTCTCCTTTGCTGACCCTCCACCCTTCCCAACATCATGTCCTTCTCCAAGAAAAATAGTGCCTTCTAGCAACATGCCCAAAGTATGTGAGGCAAAGTCTCATCAATCTTGCCTCCAAAGAGCACTCTGACTGCACCCTCTCTAAGACATATTTATTTGTTCTTTAGGCTGTCCATGGGATGTTCAGTGCTGTTCTCCAACACCACAGCTCAAAGGCATTGATTCTTCTTCTGTCATCCTTATTCACCGTCCTATTGGATGCATAGCAAGTGATCAGAAATACCATGGCCTGAATCAGACACACCTTAATCCTCAAACTGACATCATTACTCCTTAATAATTTAGAGAGATCACTAACTGCAGATTTTCCTAGTGTGACACACCTTATTTCCTGACTGCTGGTGCTAAGGGTGTTAACTGTGGATACAAGCAAGATGAAGTTGTTGACAGTTTCAATATCTTCTCCATCCCTCGTGATGTTGCATGATGATCCAGTGGTAAGAAGCTTTGCCACTGAGATGCCATCCATACTGAAGGTCGCATTCCTTGATCTTCTGCAACAAGTGCTTCAAGTCCTCTTTGCTTTTAGCAAGCAAGGTTGCACCATCTGCATAACACAGGTTCTTAATGAGTCTCTCTCCAATCCTGATGTCACATTCCTCTTCATAAAGTCCAGCTTCTTAATTTGCTCAGCATATAGATTAAATGGGTAAGAAAAGAGAATGTAATCCTGGCACACTCCCTTCTCAATTTTAAACCATGCAGTATTCTCCTACTCTGTTCGCATAAGAGCCTCCTAGTACAGGTATAGGTTTTGCATGAGCACAATTAAGTGCTCTGGGACTCCCATTCTTCTCAATGCCAGCCACAATTTAATATGATCCACAAAGCCAAATGCCTTTGCATAGTCAATAAAGCATCACTAGATAATCTTCCAGTATTCTTTACTCTCAGCCAGGATCCATCTGACATTAACAATCTTGTCCCTGGTGCCACAGACTCTTGTAAATCCTGCTTGAAATCTTGGCATTTCCTTGTCTATGTACTTACCGTTCCAACCATTTTTTAACAATCTTCAGCAGTATTTTGCTTATATGTGATATTAATGATATTGTTCAATAGTTACCACGTTCTGTTGGATCACCTTTCTTGGGAAAGGAAATAAATATGAACCTTTCTTTCTTTCTATTGGCCAGACTGCTGTCTTCAAATTTCCTGGCATAGACTGGTGAGCATATACAAAGCTGCATTTGTTAGTTAAAACAAGTCCATGTTTTCTCTTTGATTCCTAGGGCTTTTTCTTCCCCCCAATGCTTTCAGTGCAGCTTCCGCTTCCTCCTTCATTAACCATTGGCTTCTTGTGATAGTGATTTTGTCCACATTAGGGACACAGGTAATTCATCTTCTGTTCAAGAATCTGCTGAGAGTCGTTTCTCAGCCACATTATGGTGTGATTGCCATCTCTCATAAGAAGACCCCTATGACACTATGACTGTAAATACTTATTCTCATGATATTCTCACTCATTCATTGCAGTGGAGTCAGAACCATCCCATAGCAGGATTGATATAACACATTAGTAAATTACCCATCTTCCCTCCTCAGAGCAGCTGGTGGATTCAAACCAGCTGCTTTGGGTTGGCAGTGCAACTCTCTATCCACTAGAACACTAGAACACCCTGCCTGCATAAGAATTTGTTCTTATTCTCATGATGCTATAGAGTGAGGAGGAGGATTGACATTTTTTACTCTAGAATGAAAAAGAAAGTCATGTCATATAAAAGTTGGTGACTAGGACTGTCATCAATGCAAATGTCTTCTACTTTTGCAAGATAGCATCAACATTTTCAGATATCCCTCTGAAAGAGAAGGAATTTTTCCTCCGGACAGACAGACAGTAAATGATCAATCTACATATTGTTTGGCAATTTCTCTTAGTTCAGTTTCAAATAAAAGATCGTGGCTCCCAGATAACCAGCTGCACCTGTTGAGTCCAAAAATCAAATGCTTCCTGGAAGCTTGCAGCCTCTTCCTGTGGCAGCAGGAGTGAGATATGACTTAAAGTTAACTGTAGCTCTTTGAGGAGGAGGGAAGCTGGGGGAAGGCGGAGCAGAGATTATGGAATAAGTGAAATCTCAAGGTGAAGGGGCTGAGCCAGAGGCCACAGTACATAAAGTTCTTTCGGCCCTGCATTCCAGGACTGAGAAGACCAGACCCTAACTGCTACATCTCACTTTTCACAGTCCAGCTTTGTGAAGCCAAAGCACAAATACGGTTTGAGATTTTTCCTTTTTTTTTTAACCCCCCAAATTCCAAACAGTGGTAATGATGACAAGGGGTTTAACGGTAGAGTTGAGGGCAGAGAAAACAAAATGTTTTGTGGGAGGTTTTTGCTGTAACAACTTGGTCTTTCTTTTCAGTTCTCTCCAGGGTCACTCTAGATCAAACCTGCCTCTCTCCCCACGATATTTTCTGATTCCTGGTGAGTGTTTTTTGGTGCCTTCGGTTGGTCATGACTGGGTGGAGCTGCCTCGTGACAGGAGCCGGAGGGTTTCTCGGCCAAAGGATCATCAGCTTGTTGGCAGAAGAGAAGGAGCTACAAGAGATCCGAGCCCTGGACAAGGTCTTCAGACCTGATAAGCAAGAGGAATTGTCTAGTAAGTGAATTCAATAAAGGATGGATGGATTCAGTCACTGTGGCTCCATCTTAAGCCCTGAGTGGGTTTGGGAGAGGAATCTTACTTCGTAAATTAAAGATTGTAGCCAAATCAAGGTTAATCCATTTCCTTGGCACCAGAAAGGAAACCCTTACTGGTTTGGTACAAAAGACGCTGCATTGGGTGTCAGGAAACCACAGACCTAGAGAGTGATTGTAGGCTCATCACCACTTTGGCCTCTCTGACTCTTTCTTTTCATCCAGAAAAATCACACCTCAGAATTTTCCCTTGTCTAATACTCTCGAGATTTTTGACTTGGCATTTGCTGTGCAGTATCTGCAAAAGGCAGGCACCCTTATCTTGAAGGCCCATTGGAGTGGGTGGGGAGCTTTGCCCATCATGAGAATATGGTCTTTGTGTGGTTCATTTAGCATCTCCAATAGATGAACCTAAGAGGAGAGGAGGAGAGGGGAGGGAAGGGGAGAGGAGGGGAGAGGAGGAAACTGTGCTCTAGAGAGGCCCTATGAATCCATGCACACCTCATCTGCATCTCTTGTACCACTTCACTTGCCTTTGTCTCTGTTACTCGTCACACAGAGAAAGTAGTTTCAGAATTTGCTGTAGCAGCAGGCTGCTCTTTTTCTGAAATTCTTGCCCCTGGTGCCAATGCAAAAACTAGATTCGTAGTAGCTTTTCCAATGTATTGCCTGCCATATTCTCAAAATGATCCTGTGAGGATGTAGGAAAAGAGGTCACACTTATTTGCATATGGAAGAAACAAAAGTCCTGAAACGTAAAGTGACTTGTCTGAGGCCATGTAATTCATGGGGCCCAGCTCTCAGACTAGATCCTCCATACAGAGGTCCCACGAATTGGCCCGAGGTCTAACTTTTGGACAAATAAAATTTAATTCTCTCCCATTTCCCCTCTGTGTGTCCCACACCTACTTCGTGATCAGGCTGAGTGTCTCCGTGTAGATCTTGGCTACCCAAAGTCATCTGCCTCCCCTGCATGGGAGTGGGGGGTGTACTATCCCTCTACTCTTTCTTTACTTATCTCTGAAATCTTTAAATATTTTATGTCCTCTACCCTCTGCTTCCACAGTCACTCTGGTAAGCAAATCCACATCTGATTACTCGTAATTCTTATCTTTCAGCACTATTTCCAATTTAATAGCCTATGTCAAGGGAAAATCATACTTAACATAAAAGCATAGTTCCCTAGTGGTGAAAATCCAGGTGGTACAATGGACAAACAGAGACTGTATATAAAAAAGAGTATCTTATATGATGGCTCTGAAAGAAAATGGGCAAACAGTGAAAGGTGTGTGAAACTACAAAGCATAATAATGTATTTTCCATAATACAGTCTTTTCCAAACTCTGTGTCACTTGGCATTTATTTCATGGGCTAATTTGCAGTAACGTGATTGGCAGTGTAGATTACAGAGCAATTTAAAGAGACTAGTGTTGTATCCTCTGCCCTTAGCTGCTGTTGTGTGCTGTCAAGTCAATTACTACTCATCATAGCACTATAGGACAGAGTAGACCTGCCGCATAGGATTCCCAAGGCTGTATCAACTCATATGCATGTGAAAGCTGGGCAATGACTGAGGAAAACCAAAGAAGAATTGATGCCTTTGAATCATGGTGTTGGTAAAGACATTAAATGTATCACAGATGGCCAGGAGAATTAACAATTTTGTGTGAAAGTTTAACAGAATGTTTCTTAGAAATAAGAATGGCAAGACTTTGTCTCATGCACTGTGAACATGGCTTCTAGAATAAACTAGTCTCTGAGACGTGGGTTTTTGTGTCCTAGTGGTAAGGAGTTGCCCTGACAACCCAAAGGTACACGGTTTGAATCCACCAGCTGCTCCGTGGGAAAAAGATTGGCAATTTCCTCCAATGCAATTAACTGCCTCTGAAAACCTGCTGGAGGGTCAGCTGAAGTAGACTGCCTCATTTTTTCCCTGAAGAGCAGTTGATAGATTGGAAGATTGGAACTACTGACCTTTCCGTTAACAACTAGGTGTTATAACCACTATGCTACTTAGGACACCTAAAAATGTGTTCACACAGAGCTCAAGCACAAGGTCAAGCTGACGATGATGAAAGGGGACATCTTGGATGAGCAGTGCCTCAAGAAAGCCTGCCAGGGTATCTCAGTTATCATCCACACTGCCTGTATCATTGATGTAAACGGGACCATTCCAAGGGAGGACATCATGAACGTCAATCTGAAAGGTATGGTACCTCTCGCAGGGGATGGAGGGAGGGAGAAAGTGAGGACCAGAAATAGGAGGAAGAAGGAAGAGGAAACCCCTATCACTGAATACTTTCCCTGCCTTCTTGCCTAGAGCTCTTGTTCATCAAGAGCAATGAAGAAAGCAGCCCTGGTAGTGCAATGGTTAAGTGCTCGGCTGCTGAACAGTTTGAACCCACTGGCAGATCCATAGGCGAAAAGGCCTGAAGATCTGCGCCAGTAAAGATTTAAAACCCAAAACACTCACTACCATTTCCCAACAGACCTCTGGTGGCTTAATGGTAAGGAATTGCACTGCCAACTCAAAGGCACATAGTTCGAATCCACCAGCAAGTCTGTGGGAGAAAGAAGGACATTCTCTTCTCATGTGATTTATAACTTCTGAAAACCCAGTGGAGGGCCAGCTATAGATGTCAGTTCCAACTCGAGGGTACACAACAACAATTCCTAATGGGAAAAGACTGACCATCTTTCTCCCATAGAGCAGGCTGGTGGGTTAGAACTGTTGACCTTTCTAATAGCAGCCCTGTCTGTTATGCCCTCCACCACCAGGGAGGGAACTTCCTGTAAAGACTGAGTTTATGGTCCATAAAACCCTATGGGGAGATTCTACTCTGTTGGTACCAATTCAGTGACACACAATAATGTTAACTGAAAGTTCAAAACTGCTGTCCTCAGATTTAAGGAGCCCTGGTGGTAGTTAAAGCCTAGAGTAGTTAAAGTGCTCAGCTGCTAACTGAAAGATTGTCAGGTCAAACCCCCCCAGCAGCTCCATGAGAAAAACATGTGACAGTCCACTTAAAGACTTACAGCCTTGGACACCACAAGGGTGGTTCTACTCATCATTTCGGATTGTTATGAGACAGAATTGATTCTGGAGCACAAGATTGTTTTTCTTTGTATTTGGTCTCCTCAGCTTTGGGGAAACTAGTGTCAAGAAAGTTGAAGTAACTTGTCCCAGGTCCCAAAGATATTAAGTAGGAGAGCTAGAATTAAACCTGTGTGACTTAAAAGGTCATGAAAGTAAAATTATTTTTTTTTAAAAAAAAAGGTCATGAAAGCTACTGCTGCCCCACAAAAAGACAACTCAACTCTAAATATCCTCTGCCTCCTGACCATATAGGGACTTTCTGAGTCACATGCTAGCCTTTCTGTGTGACTCTTAGGGAGGTAATCACAGAGGAAGGCCAAGAGCTGAGAAATTCTGGGCCAAGAGTGGACCCTCATCAATCAGTCATGAGCCACCACTCGGGGCTATTGACCCTCAGGCTACATTCCCTGGACCAGGTCAGCAAGTATAATGAGAACACCCTGAACCCTCTGACAACTCGAAAGTAGATTCTTCTCAGATGTGGCAAAACTGGTTTGAAAAGATCATGCTGCACTTACCTCCCCACTCTATTTTCTTAACAATTTCTTCTTCTTGTTAGGGGCCATCAGTCAACTCTGACTGATAGTGACTCTATGCACACAGATCAGAACACTGCCAGTCCTTAACAATAAATTTCCCATTATTCATAAGGCCATCTCTTCAGCTTACCCCTAGAGATGTTCCTAGCTACTCTAGCGAGTCTAGATTATGCTCATTAGATCTTCACTCCTTAAATTCTTGGAGGTTCTTTCTGAATTTTCCAATCTAAATCTAGACACATTAGCTTAAGGGACTTTGCTATATACTATCATCCATCTGTCTCTGGAGGCCAGTTTCCTGAGCTCCACAATACCCCAACTCCCAGTCCACTCAGCCCTTCAAAGTTAGTTTAATCAGAAACTCCTTTTCTAAAGCAGCTGTTGCACTCCTCTGACCAGCAGGAAAGTGTCAGGTGATCAGAATAAATGACTTAAGACTCCTTAGTCAAAAGGTTTACGAGAGAGGAACTCATGATTGGGTGTTCTCCCAGTCTGTACGTCCTCATAGTTTTGGGTGTTTAAAAAAAAAAATAGTGAGAAATTTATTTTGTTTTATTTTCTTTTAATCCTCATAGCTTTTACTGAGAAGTTTTTCATTACAAACGCAGTCAGATATGTTAACTGGATTATAAAATGGTTTTTTACTGTTTCTTTTCTTATTTGCTGACCTTCCCTATTTCATAACTACCTCTTTATCAGTAGGCAGCTTTGGCATGAAGATTTAAGCATGTCATTGTTAATTTTGTCTTAACCCAGGTAGCTCTTGCCTTGGTCAGCTTAACCCCTACACATAACTACTTGGTTTTGAGTCCTATCTTTCTTTATCTACTGCTGCTATAACAAATACCACAAATGGATGGCTTCAGTGAACAAAAACTTATTCTCACAATCCAGGAAGCTGGACATTCAAATCCAGGGCACAGACTCTGGGGCAAGGCTTTCTGTCTCTGTTGGCTCTGAAAGAAATTTCTTGTCTTTGTCAGTAGCTATTTCTTGGTTCTTTGATGATCTTCACTGTGACAGAGCATCCATCGATCCTTCCCCCAGCACATGCTGACTTAACTTGCTCCTGCCTTGTCTCAAAATAGATTGACTCAAGACATACCCTACACTAATACTGCCTAATTAATGCAGCGAAAGACCTATTTTCAAATGGAATTACTACAGGTATTTTAAAGGGGAGGGGAATTTAAAACCCAGCTGACAGCAAATCAATTCCAACTCACAGAAACCCTGTAAGACAGAGCAGAACAGCCTCCTAAGGTTTCTAAGGTTGTAAAAGCTTACAGAAGCAGATTGCCACATCTTTCTCCCTCGGAGCAGCTAGTGAGTGCAAACCACCAAGTTCTTAGTGATTGGCTGAATTCTTGAACCACAGTGCCGTCAGGACTTTTACTACAGGGATAAGGGCCAGGATTTAGAGCACATACTCTGGGGGAGGGACACAATTCAATCATAACAGGTGCCTAGTTTAAAATAGCATCATTCCCCAAAAGGCTCTTTCCAGTCTCTACCTACCTACACTCCTAATGGTCCCCCAGACCACCAACATTAACTAGTCTTAGTAATTTTTGTGGAGTGGTTCAAGTGTTCCTCAGATAAGCAAACAGTCTGCACTCCACGAGAGAAAAGACCTGGATGAATGGGGAAGTTCTACTCTTTCCTACGGAGTCACTATGAGTTAGAGAAGACTCAATGGCACTGAAAAGAGTTCAAACCTCAGTGCCATCAAGTTGAAACTGACTCTTAATTGACCCTCCAGTCGATTTTTTCAGGAGGTTGTAAATTGCACAGGAGGAGATTGCCCATCCTTCTCCTGGTGAGCCATTGGTGGATGTGAAGTGTCAGAGAGGCTTAGCCTTTCGGGCAGCCTTGAGAGTTTCTTCAGGCTATACCACTAAAGCCCCCCCGCTCCACCCACACACACACAAGACAGTGTAATCCCTACCCTGCACAGCTCCCAGTGATAGGACTGAAAGTCTCTGGAAAGTGTTAGAGGCATCCGTTGACTAAAATCATCATAACTCCAGGTCGATAAATACTTCACAAATAATGATATTGAAAAGTATATGTGTTCCAATAAATACTTCAAAACATTCTTTATTTCTTCCTCTGCAGGTAAATTAACTCTAAATTTTCTCTGCCTATAGCTTTTAATTTTTTTCCAACTACTTTAAGGATATATCTCTGGGAAATTAAATTAAATTAAAGACTTTAAGGCACAGAAGGCACACAGAAAGTAAGATTTCTTTGAAAGCCAACCCCAAAACAAAACTTTTCCCAGAAAGATTCTACAGACATTTTCTGAATGCTGAAAGGCTTCAAGATTCACTCCTTCACACATCACCACCAGCGAGCACATAGCACTTTCCAAGTCTCAACTGAGGTGAGCTTAGAAGGCAGGGCTGTATTCAGAGAGTAAAAAGAAGGCCCATCACCCCGACTTTTTAGGACTGGGTAAATGGTGTCACAACCGTAATTTGAGAGGACTTTGCAGGTAATACACAACAAGGACCAGAAACGAGGTCTCCGCATCTTCTTTCTCAAATCCCACTGCCATTTGTTCAATGATTCTCAAAGAACGGTCCTTGCTTCCAAGGTTTTATTAGTCTGCAAGAAAATAGAGAAAACATAAACTATTTCGGGTTTATTTAAGAGTCTGTAGTACCTGTATATGACTCTATATGTGTGAGAGAGTTCTTCAGTTCTTTTTGGCTGGACTGGAATTGTCCACATTCTAAGATTACTCACTCTTAAATTTTGCAGTTAGAATTATCTATCTTTAATGACATAAAAGAAATTTTGTAGGGTAATTTTTAATGTCCTTACTTGGCAAAATATGACAAGACTCTGTCCTTCCAAAAATTTTAACTACACACACATACAGGTCCATGAAGCCCCAAAGGCTAGACATTTGGCTCTCCAAAATCCAAATATCAACCTTTTTTGTATGTGTCCTAGAAAAGTCCCTGAGTAGTGAAAAGGTTAAGTACTCGACTACTAACCATAAGATTAACAGCTCAAATCCACTGAGAGTCACCTCAGAAGGCAAACCTGGTCACATGCTTCCAAAAGGTGACAGCATTGAAAATCCTGTGGGACACTCCTGCTCTACACTCATGGGTCAAAATAAACTCCAAGGCAGCCGTTAGCAATAACATGAATGTGAGGCCAAGCCATGGAGACAAACTGCTGAAAGCATGCTTGTCTCATGGTTGTAGCATGGTGAGACCTCAGCCGTGGTCGGGAAAGATTACCCTCCTGATCTGTAAAAACCAGCTCACTTGTAAGTGAGTGGACCTGTGAACATGCTTGCACTTTGAGGTAATTTTCAGATACTAACAGTGTACTCCCTTTGGGCAGGTACCCAGCTCTTGTTGGAGGCCTCTGTCCAGGCTAATGTGCCAATCTTCATCTATACCAGCACCATAGAGGTGGCTGGACCCAACTCCTACAAGGAGATCATCCAGAATGGGCATGAAGAAGAGAATTATGAATCTAAATGGTCCTCTCCATATCCTTACAGCAAAAAGCTAGCTGAGAAGGTTGTGCTGGCAGCAGATGGCTGGACACTAAAAAATGGTGGCACGTTGTACACTTGTGCATTAAGGCCCATGTACATCTACGGAGAAGGAAACCCATTCATTTGTCAACAAATAAACGAAGCTCTACAGAATAATGGCATCCTATTGAATTTCGCTAAGCACTCCCTTGCCAACCCAGTCTATGTTGATAATGTGGCCTGGGCTCATATTCTGGCCGCAAGAGGGTTGAAGGATCCCAAGAAAGCCCCAAACATCCGAGGACAGTTCTACTACATCTCAGATGACACACCTCATGAAAGCTACAGTAAATTCAATTACATCCTGAGCAAAGAATTTGGTCTCCACATTGATTCTGGAATGAGCGTGCCTGTCTTCGTGAAGTACTGGGTGGCCTTCTTGCTGGAAATAATAAGCTTCCTGCTAAGTCCAGTTTACAAATTCCACCCTCCCTTCACCCGTCACCTGGTGACATTGTCAAATAGTGTGTTCATCTTCTCTTACAAGAAAGCCCAGAAAGATCTGGGATATGAGCCACTCTTCAGCTGGGAGGAATCCAGGAAGAAAACTTCCCAGTGGATTGGCTCGCTGGTGAAACAACACAACGAGGCCCTGAAAACTAAGATTCACTGATCTGTTGGTGCCAGCAACGTGGTCCTCAGTGCTCCTCCCTTTCTCTCTTTTCAAAACGTAGCAGGAGCACAAATGCAAGTCCTACTGCCTTCTTTTTCCAAAGAGACCAGCTTCTGGTCTACCAGATCCTACAAGAAACCTTCCCAACTGCTGCTCCCTAACCGTAAATCTTTCCAATTAATCCCTCTCATTGCACCTCCTTAACCAAGGTGTTTTGCTTCACCTGCAGTTTTGGAGTCTCGGGTGCTATTTAAGGGACATCTTTTAATTTAAGAGTTTTGTCTATTAATTCCTCTTCTTCTCTTAAAGCATTCTATTTCTCTTAAAAACTCCTTACTCATTAATCCAGTTTAGAGAAAAAGTAAAAATAAATGTTTTAATGCCTTATCTGGGTATGCTTGTGATTTACAATAGCATAAACATTCTGCATTACTCCTCGGTTACCTTCGTCCTCACCATGTTTGCAACCACAGCATGGGCTTGGGGGCAAAGAAATGGAAGTAGGGCCAGGAAAGGAAGAACAAAAATTTGCTAAGCGTCTGCTTTGTCCCAGGATATGAACTAGATGACTAGAACAGGAACCATGCCAGGTCAATATGGTCTTTAAAAAAAAATCTACTAGCTTATTTGTTGCCTTCAATATGGATTGAGGCTCAATATCCAAGACAAAGATTTTCATTACTGGGCCAATTGGAAGCATCAGGATGGATGTGAAGAGATTGAGATTGTTAACCACTTTAGTCTGCTTGGCTCCATGGTCAACACTCTTGGCACCAGCAGCCAGGAAATTAAAAGACATATTATGATGGGAAAGTATGATGTTAGGGACCTCTCCAAAGTACTGAAGAGCAATGGTGTCTCTCTGGAGACTAAGGTGTGCCTGATACAGGCCATGGTCTTTGCAATCACTTGCTATGCATCAGAGAGCTGGACAATGACTAGGGAGGAAAGGAGAATTGATGCCTTTGAGCTGTGATGCTAGAGAAGAGTATTGAATGTACCATGGACTGCTAAGAAAACTAACAGGTTCATCCTGAAGAGGATTAAACCAGGTTGCTCCTTGGAGGCAAGGATTCTGAGGCTTCACCTGACATGCGTTGGACATGTTGTAAGGAGGGACCAGTCCTTGGAAAGGGACATCATGCTTGGTAGGGTGGAGGGACAGTACAGGAGAGGAAAACCCTCTATGAGGTAGATTGACTCAGTGACTGGGGTAATGGGGGTTGGTGTGTTGGAGGCAGTGAAATTGGCACAGGATAGGGCAGGGTTTAGGGCTGTTGTACATAGGGTCACTATGCGTCAGAGGTGACACACTGCACATAACAACAAATAGTTTATTTACAGAATTTGAATACATTGTTTTCAAGAACAAATTCTTTTCATTTCCTTCACACACACCCCCCATCAAATTGTACAACCCTATGATTAATCCCCCTCTCCCCGCACATCCACATCCCTCTACTTTCAACCTCTTTGACACAGGTTACTTACAGATCATGAAATGGGCAGAATTTGAACTTTTAAGCATTCATTCTGAAGAAGAAAGGAAAATACACATAAGCACATTTCTGTCACCTCCACAACCCCAAAGAGTTTCTATGGTGGCTTTAGTGGAAAGGAGTTGCACTGTGTATCAAACAAAGGCAGCTTTACAACTAGAGGCAACTGGTTCAAATCCACCAGCTCTTCTGAGATAGAAAGGTGGGCGACCTACAGCCCAAGATTTATAGCCTCTGAAATCCTGCTGAAGCGTCAGCTATAGAAGTTGTTTTGACTGCAAGGTACACACATAACAACACCACAATCCCAAATGACCAAAGATCAGCACTGGTAGGAGGTGGCGTGACCCCAGGCAGGAAGATAAGGTGGGAAGTGAACACTCCCTTCCCAGTCTCCACTGCACAAAACCCTAAGTCCCTGTCTACCCAGCTGCAGTCAGCGGGCTCCCACTTCATACGGTTTTGTCCTGAGAGAAGGAAAGTAGGGGCTGGTGTAGTCTAAACAAGGTCCCTGGCCTGAGCATTTTACCTGATAAAAGTCTTACAGCTATGAGCCCACTAGACAGTTCAGGAAGGAGATATGGAGACAGACTGGAAGTCTTAACGTCTCCGTTGCTTTCACAACCCAAATGCACTGCACAAGATGCACCACTTGAGGGCAGCAAAGGCGTGGAAAGAATGAGCGGGACTGGCGGAGTCCTCCCTGCACCTGGATGACATCCTCTATCCCAGCTTGTCTTTGGCCAGGAGTGCCACCAAGAGGCTTAGTGCTGCCAGGACCTCAGAAAGAAGAGATTGGTGACAATTCCAGAGCTGTCCAGACCTTCGTCCCAGACTGCAGCTTTTCTTCAGATATTTGACCTTAATCCTAAATAGAAGGAAGGGAAAAGATTCTAAGGTTGGGATTTGTTATTGATTATTTACTCAAAATACCAAACTCATTGTCATCCAGTAGGAACTAACTCATTGCAAACCTTCTATTGGATATCCTAGGCTATAAATTAGGTGGGAAGATATTGTCCATTTTTTCTTCTAGAGTGATTGCACCATTTTACATTCTCAGGGTGAATAAGGGTTCCAATTTCTTCACACACTCGCCAGCATTTGTTCTTTGCAATGATTTCTTTCTTGAAAAAGAAGGCTGTGAAGTGTCTGAAGCAATCTGTTCAATTTTTATGATAGACCCTCAGTACTATTATATATCCTACTCTACACTTTCCTCTGTTTGATGTTACTGTTGTTGTGAGGTGCCTTTGAATCAACCCTGAATAATTCTATGAACAACACATCTGAGCCCTGCCCTCTCCTGCCCCATCCTCGCCATCTCTGATATTCTTGAGTCCATAGTTATAGTCACTGTGTCAAACCATCTACTGGGGGCCATCCTCTCTTTTGCTGACCTTGTACCTTTCCAAGCATGATGTCCCATTTCAAGGACCCCCATTGATAACATGCCCAAACTAAAAGAAATGAAATTTTACTTCCCTTTCCTCTAAGGAGTACCCTGATTGCACTTTGTCCAAGAAACAGTTGTTTGTTCTTTTGGCAGTTCATGGTATATTCAGTACTCTAACACCACTGCTCAAAGGTCATTCTGTCATCCTTATCCATTGTCCATCTTTCAGATGCATAGGCAGTAATTGAAAAGACCATGTCTTTAATAAAGGGTACTTTAGTTTTTCAATTGACATCATGTCTCCTTAACACCTTTGAGAAGTCTTTGACAGATTTTGCTCAATGCAAAATGTCTTTTGATTTCTTGACCACTGGTGTCAAGGGTATTGATTGTGGACCCAAGAAAGATGAAATAATTGATAATTTCCATCTTGTTTCCATCTATCATGATGTTGTATGTTGGCTGGTGGTGAGGATTTAGTCTTCTTGATGTTGAGATGCAATCCATATAGAAGGCTATCATCTTTGATTTTTCTGCAGCAAACGTTCCAAGTCATCTTTGCTCTCAGCAAGTGAGGTTGTGTCAGCTGCATAATGTAAGTGGTTGATGAGTCTTCCTCCAATCTTGATGCCATATGCTTCATCAAATCCAGGCCCTTAAATGATTTGCTCAGAATACAGATTGAAAAGGCATGGAGAAAGGAGATAGCCCTGACAAACTTCTTTCTTGATTTTAAAGCATGCAGTGTTCCCTTGCTCTGTTCAGACAAGAGTTTCTTGATCTAGGTATAAATTTTGCCTGAGAACAGTTAAGTGTTCTGGGATTCCCATTCTTCTCAATGCTAGCCATAATTTGGTGTATTCTACACAGTCAAATGCCTTTGCATAGTCAATAAAAAACAAATATTCATCTTTCTGGTATTCTCTGATTTCAGCCAAAATCTATCATTTAACATATACAACAGCTCAAATTTCTGGCAGTTCTCTGTCAATGTACTATTCTAGTAATTTTTCAATAATCTTCATCAAGATTTTACTTGTGTGTGATAATAGTGATATTGTTCAATCATTTCCACATACTGTTGCATCATCTTTTTTAAGAAATGGAATAAATATGTATCTCTTCCAATCAGTTGGCCAGGGAGTATCTTCCAAATTTCTTAGCACAGACTGGTGAGAATGTCCAGGACTGCATCTATTTGTTGAAACATGTCAATTTGTATCCCATCAATTCCTGGAGCCTTATTTTTTATCAATGTCTAGAGCACAGACTGAATGTCTTTATTATTACCATTGCTTCATATTATGCTAGATCCTGAAATGATTCTGTGTCAGCTGGTTCTTTTTTATTGTTGTTGTTGTTGTTGTGTATGGAGTCGGATCCAACTGGCACTGGAGGAGATTGCCCCTCTTTCTCCAGTGGAGCATCTGGTGGATTCAAACCATGGGCCTTTGGGATTGCAACACAGCTTCGTGCCAGTAGGCCACCAGAGCTCCCTTCAGCTGATTCTTTTTGATAGAATGAATCAGAGCATTCCCTCCATGTTCTTAAGATGCTTCTTGAATCAGTCAAGATTTTGCCTGCAATATCTCTCAGCACTGCAACTCAAGGCTTGAATTTGTTTCCCTGGTTCTTTCAGCTTGAGAAATACTAAGAGAGTTCTTCCCTTTTGAATGTCTAACTCAAACTCTATTTGTCCATTTTATTACAATACTTTGCTCTGTCTTCTTGAGCTGCCCTTTGAAATCTTCTGCTCATCTTTACTTCATTATTTCCTCTCTTTGTTTTGGCTTCATGACATTCTAGTGTAATTTTCAGAGTCTCCTCTGACATCCATTTTGGTGGGGTTTTTTTTCTCCTCTATCATTGTAACGACCTTTTACTTTCTTCATGGATATCCTTGATGTAATCCCACACGTGTCTGGTCTTAGATCATTAATATTCAGTGTCTCAAACTTGAGATAGTTTTTAAATTCAGGTGGGATAGATTCAAGGTCATACTATAATGACTTTTATGGATTTGTTTTCCTTTTCTTCAGTTTCAATTTGAACTTTTACATGGATGACCTGTTCCACAGTCAACATCTCGTCTGCTTTTTATTGCT